ATACAATATCTGATGATTTAAATAAAACCAGAACCTGTTGACAGAGAGGAGCGTAGGCTCTAGCGTCGTGGAAACACTAGCATCAACCATGCTGAAACAAAATTTTCAGGTGATTAACAAGAATGGCACAGCTACTCATTACTGAGTCATTTTTTCTAATTTTTTTTTCTATTTTAGGGAGTTTTATAATTTTTTTTAGATATGGTCTTAAACTTTTAATCAGCTGATGAACAGCTAATTTCATCTTAATGGGTGGTTTCAATAAAATGCTTACTGTTTTTGTTTGTTTTTTGTCTTACTCRCATTTCTACTTAGAAGCTTCTTAAAGCTAACAGTACAAAATGTGAAATCTTGCCATTTTTCAGCTGGTTGTGACAACATATATTTAAAAATTTATAAAAACAATAAATAGCCTACAGTATTTTTAGTCTTTTTTTTAGTTGAACAATAAGTTAATGAAATCACGTCTGATGTTTTAATTAGTTGGGGTTAACKTTAAGGCAGAGACCAATACCAGCACTTAAAACATGAAGCTAACGCTAGCAGGAGGTTGAGTTAGCTAAGCACAAAAAAAAAGAAAACAAAAATAAATAAATAAAAACTGTTCCAACTGCTCAAAGGGGTAGTTCGAAGTGTTTGAAGTGTTGAGAGTTTAGGAGCTATCTGAACAAAATCAGCTTGAAGAAATATTTTTGATTGAACTGGCTAACGGCTAGTCAGAACTGAGATCAGTGCAGAAATTTACTGTGTGACGTTTTTTAAACTTTTACGTTTTACAGTGATAAGAACCTCTCACAAATGTTTCAAAAGGTTTTTGGAAAGGGGTCCTCACTATGTTCGCTGGTACCTGTKGTCTCCTGGGTCATTAAAGAGAGCCATGAAGGTACCAGGGAACACAGGATCAGGGAAACACCTGCACAGGCCTGTTTCTCCTGTCAGAATTAATCTACACATATAATAGCTCAAAAGGTATTTGGTTGATTATTTCTTTGTTGTAACAACGCTCCTTGGCAAGAAATCTACTACTGTTGGAAAGCTTGTTAAATGGAGCCACACTTGGTAAGAAAATACAAATTTGTGGATTAAGCAGCTGAAGTGACGTTGTGGATTTGATCCATGAAAAACTGTTAATACTTCCCTGTCAAACAGGTCGTTCTGCTGTTGACTCTTGTTTTAAGCTCCTCCCACAGCAGAGGGTAAACAAGCTGATGAGCTGGAGGAGGAGGAGCCAAGCTGTTGTGGCTGTGTATGGTTCTTCCTCATGCTATGGAGGCCATCTTTGTCTTACCTTCAGACTGAAATCATCCAATCCAACAAACAAGACCAAATAAAAGTCAACAGCAAAAGATTTTCACGAGTGTAACGCACAAACTCAACTCTGCTGCTCAATCCACAAATATAGCTCCTCACAAACATTTAAGGGTAAACAGCAGATTTATTGCTAAGATGCAGCAAAGTTAGGTCAACTCAATATTCCCTTACTGAAAATATAGCTTCGCTAACACTAAACCGCTAAACACATTTTAAAAAGGAAGCTAATGCAAAAAAAAGCTAAGTGAGTCAAATTTAGCAGAAACTAACTCTAAAAGCTAATCCCCAACCTCTAAGACACACATCTTCTTTTCCGCTGAAGACTGGTGGGACCAAACCTGTTGATGTTAGCTTGTTAGCTAACTGTCTGCTAACAGTTGTGAAAAAAGATAATCTGCACAACAGGAAAATGAGCTCTGCTGTTAGCTGACTAGTGTAATCACCACTGCCAGGTGGTGTTGTTGCAGCAAAGAAATAATCTTCCAAACACAAAATTTTCATAGTTTTTKTGCTGAGATTATTTCTCCAAGCTGAGGCAGCTCAGAGTGCTATCTGGTGCAGGTAAAACCCTTACTGCTAATAACGTCTCTGTCTTAACTATCCCTTTAAGCGTAACCCAAAAGCTTACAGTTAATTAGCACTTTATATTGGAATGATGTGATTTAAGAGGTTTTGCAACTCTCTAATTTTCCTGTAGTTGCATTCCCAAGCTTGCATGTTTGGATAATTTAACTTTAGCGATTGTTAGCCACTTCCTGCTTTAAAAAAAAAAAAGAATGCTTAACCTTAAATGCTTTAACTTTTTGGATGATTGTACAGACAGCTCAGTGTTCCCCACCTGTGTACTCTTCGTCATCCATGTGGTTCCCTTCCAAACCACGTTTAGCGTGTTAGCATCGAAAGCTAATTGTTTTTTTTTTTTTTTAAAAAGAGAAACACGTGCATGGTGGTGAAACTGTCTCGCTGCAGGAACGTGGTTACTTCTAGAGATGCAATAATTCTTTTATCTTCTTTTGCTTGTTTTGTAAGGGCAACATGTAATAAATGGTAAAGAGTTTTAACAATGTACATTATATAGTAGCTATATTTTATTCCTGTAAAATGTTACTAATATATTACTAATAAGACCTAAGTGTTGAATTCAGATTCTGTTGTTGGTGTTTTTTGTTTTTTATTTGCCCGCTGTCTCATTGATGGTCCGTAGGAGCTTAGAGAAACTAACCGTGGGTCAGAGTTATATCAGCGGCCAACGTTCGGACCACTTTTCTGCTTGGAGTTCTGCCTTAAATTCGGTAGGAATAGGAGGAAACTTTCTGTTTTAAACTGCATAAAGAACAATCAGTTCAGATTTGTTGTGCTRTTATTGTTTCATGAGAATGTGAGGGGGTGTGCAGGAGAGCCAAAATAAAGAATAAAAAGCTAACATTTGTACTGTCGTTTATTTCTGTTTATTATTTTTCTTATTCCTAACAGTACTGTAACAGTACGGGTTTATTTGCTGTTTTATTGTTACTAATTTGATTAAGTTGGGCGCCAGCCAGGTCCTCCTGACATATAGGATATTTTGGACCCGATTGAGCTTTAACTGTTTTATATTTATATGTATGGTTTAGAATTAGTTCAATTTTACCGTACACCAGGACATGTAAAATATAAAGAAATTACAAATACACACCCTGTTAACTCTAAATACTAAGTGACAAAATAATGTGTAACAAAAGGAAATGAGCACAGACAAAACTGAAAATAGTTTTCTCGAATATATTATTCAAAACAAATCAAAATAAACACAAAAGAAGTACAAATAACCTGTTCAGGAGCTGCTGCTCAATTTGGGTCGGAACGCCAAAACAGTGTGTGTGTGTGTGTGTGTGTGTGTGTGTGTGTGTGTGTGTGTGTGTGT